AACAACAACAAAAAAAGCTTTGGTATATGGAAAAGAAAGAAACACTACAAAGAAATAAATAAATGTATTTGAAATAAGAGATGTCCTCATTTGTTTAATCAAATAAAATCAGAATTAGAAATTTAAAAAGCTTTGTAGCCTTTATTGCAAATAAGGGGAAAAGTACTCTGCAGTTTTTGGGACAATAGCAAACAGAAAACAGCCCATCCCATTGTCCAAACCACAGTCAATCCTTTTACCACAGAGACTTTTGGCAGCTGCTCTAGGCCAGAGTATCCATTTAAAGCCATAAGAGGTACTGCAGGGTTGTGATCTGCTTAAAGCACCTGTGCTAATCCCTCCACTCCAAGTCAATAACCAGATACTCTCCAAAAGCTAGCAAAAATAAGTCTTTGTCAAAGCAGCTGTCAGCCAGACACAAAACACAGTTGGCGCTGGCACTCCTTCACAATGGTGCATCTCCTCTTAGAGTCTGTCAGAGTACATCTGTCAAACTTCCTATTTTTGAAAAGGTCAGTGGAATTAAAGGGTTTTACATTTTACAATAATCTCCATGTAGTTTTTTTTAACTTATATTATCGAAAGCTAATTTAGGAATTCCAGAAAAGATATTTCTCCTTCTTTTATTGCAAAACAAATAGCTAGTAAAGATTGAATCTAACTATGCTGAACATCTGGTTAAATTGTTATTCTGTGGCGTGAAAGCAATCATTAATTCCTGCTAACCACCTGCTGCTGATCTGTTCTTCAAAGGGTCACCGAGCTCACAAATAAAACTGCCTGTTAACCATATGGCACACAGTAAAATGACAGCAAAACAAATAGCCTTTTTAATGTTGTGTTGACCTGGCGGTTATGTAGCCACAGGTCATTTGGAAAGATAATTAAACCCCCTTACATCCTACACATGTATACAAACACATGCTGGCCAGTGATCAGATATACCCATCATTCACTTCTTTTCACTAATAGTAGTTCAGCCAATTGAATTCTAGCAACTCGATGAAGAACAGAAAAAAAACATGAAGTTGATGCCCTAGATTCGAAAACAGTGAAGAATGATCAGCCATTTCTTAGATTTGCCAGAGAAAAGTTAGGAAATGAGGAAATACTGTATCAAGAAAGTAGCAGGTACTGTAGGTGAGCAAATTGTTGGGTTTGAGGTCAGAAGGGAGTTAGACTGGTGCTATGATGATATAAAGTAGTTTAAATGACCATACCTCCTTTTAAAGGAGAAGTTCGGTTTTTTACACTTTAAGCCCATTTTCTGTAGTGTCCAGGATGAAATCGAATGATCGACACCAAAAGTTTGACAATTGCTCCTGTCTCTGCTTTTTGGCTCATTTAGAATCCCCCCCTGGCTGCTTTAGAATGGCTTGCATAGAGCATGTC